TAACAGAAGAAAAGAGAAGAGAATACAGAACAGAACAGAATAGAATATTGGAAGGAATAGAATAGAATAGAATAGAATAGAATAGAATAGAATAGAATAGAATAGAATAGAATAGAATAGAATATAGAATATAGGATAGAATAATGGAATGGAATGGAAAATAGAATGGAATGGAATGGAATAATAATAGAGTAGAGTAGAGCAGAGCAGAGTAGGGTAGAGTAGAGTAGAGTAGAGAATAGAGTAATAGAATAGAACAGAGCTGGAAGGGACCTTTGAGGTCTTCTAGTCCAGCCTCCTGCTCAAGTAGAACCTATGCCATCTCAGACAAGTGACTGTCCAGTCTCTTCTTAAAAGCCCCCAGTGACGGAGCACCCACAACTTCTGGTGGCCGGCTGTTCCACTGATTAATTGTTCTCCCAGTCAGGAAATTTCTCCTTGTTTCTATGTTTCTCCTCTCCTTGATTAGTTTCCATCCATTGTTCCATGTCCTGCCTTCTGTTGCCCCGCCCCTCTTCTCTGTGGCAGCCCCTCAAATACTGAAACAGTGCTATCATGTCCCCCCCGAGTCCTTCTTTACTCTAGACCAGCCAAACCCAATTCCTGCAACTATTCTTCATAGGATTTAGCCTCCAGTCCCCTAATCATCTCCGTGGCTTCTGGAGTTGGAGACCCAAGGAATCCCCTTCGCAGGTGAGCCTCACCTGAGTATTGATAATGGCTTGTTGCAGAGTCTTTTCGGGAAGGCTGAGGTGCTGTGCAGAATTTGCGTCTTCTACCAGGTAGATGGGGTGGGAAAGACCGCACTGTCGCAGGCGGAACTGGATTCGAGACATCGGTAAAATAAAAGAATTTAAAAGTCCTTCCTGATTCTATCGCTCTGCTAAACAAGTAATTCCCTCAACACTGTCCAACTATTTACAAAGTCTACACTACTATTTCTATTAATCTTCTCATCACTCCTTATCGCCCATCCCCGCCCCCACTTGTGACTATATGACTGAAAATTTGTCACTTGTATCCTTACGATTTCTATTGACTGTTTCCTATGATGATTTGATTGCTTACTGTACCCTATGACTATTATTATTAAGTGTTGCACCTGATGATTCTTGACTCTTGACAAAAGTATCTTTCCTTTTATGGACACTGAGAGTATTTGCACTAAGACAAATTCCTTGTGTGTCCCATCACACTTGGCCAATAAAGAATTCTATTCTATTCTTTATTCCGATATTCTGTTCCGTTCCGTTCCGTTCCGTTCCGTTCCATTCCATTCCATTCCATTCCACATTCTATTCTATTCTATTCTATTCTATTCTATTCTATTCTATTCTATTCTATTCTATTCTATTCTATTCCATTCCATTCCATTCCATTCTATACTACATTCTATTCCATTCCATTCCATTCCATTCCATTCCATTCCATTCCATTCCATTCCATTCCATTCTATTCTATTCCATTCCATTCCATTCCATTCCACTCTCTGTTCTATCAAGTCCGGAATTTGGAGGCTGCTACCTTTTGTTCCCGGAAGCGACCGTCAATGATGCTACTGCATAAATCCGGCATCCGTTTCCGTTCTACCACGTAGTCTAAAACCAGCTCACGAGCCGTGGTTGGCGGCAACAGTTCTGGGAAAAAGGAGATTAGAACAAGAATTGAATCCCGGGGAAGCAGAGAGTGGAGTTCTTCTCCATTGAGGGAAAAACGTTTTACGTTCCAGGAATTTCTCACCCACCTGCCCCATGGGGACCCCGCTCTCTGGCCACCCAGAGGAAATCACCAATGTGGAGCTTCCGGATGCTAAACGGGACGTTGTGACCTTGGAGTTCGCGCACCAGCTCCTGTTTACGGGACGTGGGGCCGCTGGAAAGCAGGAGGGGGGGAAAGCGCTTTTCACAATCTATTTCATGGAGGAATTCCGTTTTTTCCCCTTCTTCCTTTAGTTGTTTTCTTGCAGACATTTCATGACCAAACTAGAGGACATCATCAGTGCTGGAAGGGAGGAGGGTTGTGGAGAGGAGGAAGAGGAAGAGGAGGAGGAGGACTGTGGGGTCCTTAGTGCTTGGTGGTTTTCTTGCAGGAGTTTCATGGCCCAACTAGGGAACATCATCAGTGCTAGAAGGCAGGAGGAGGAAGAGGAGGAAGAGGGGGAGAAGGAGAGGGGGAAGGGGAGGAGGACTGTGGGGTCCTTGGTGGTCTCTGAGCTTGGTGGTTTCCTTGCAGGAGTTTCATGACCCAACTAGGTAACATCATCAATGAGTGAGTGGTGGAGGAGGGGAATGAGGAAGAGTATTGATTCCTGGTGGTCTCTGAGCTCAGCTTTCTTGCAGACATTTCATGACCCAACTAGGGAACATCATCAGTGCTAGAAGGGAGCTGGGTTTTGTACAGCAACACCCTCTCCCCCGTGCCTATTGCACATAGGCTGTGGTTTTAGCGTGGCAGCTGCTTACCCCGTGGTCTCGATGAAATCCACGCAAAGGATCACATCAAACCCTCCAGGTCGCAGCACAAACTGGGGTTTCGACAGCCCCAAGTTAGGCCTTTCACAGCTTGATCTAGAAAGAAAGAAAGAAAGAAAGAAAGAAAGAAAGAAAGAAAGAAAGAAAGAAAGAAAGAAAGAAAGAAAGAAAGAAAGAAAGAAAGAAAGAAAGATCACCAGAGATGTGACCGCTGGGCCAGGTGGAAATTTTTAGGTAGTCCTCATCTTATGACCGTAATAAGAGCCCGCCCACGAGGGTCGTTCAGTCATGACAACGGCAAAATAGAACATTGCATTCACTGACCTGATGTTATGGCCTGTTTTGGTAGCTGGGTGTTTTTTAAGCAAATCGCTACCACGGGGAAGAGACTCTGCCATCGGTATGTGAACTCCACGGACGTTAAAGCGAACCCGTTGCTTGTTTGGTTCTGGAGCATTTGGGGGTTTTTTGGCCGAGAATCCATGGAAATTTGGAATGGAATTTTTGCCAATTCTTTGCAGGGGAAATTCCGGTTTCGTTTGCGGCCGTTAGGTCAAGAATTACCTGCATTTATTGGTGGGGCTGCTATCTGAATTTTCTGAGCCCAAGGAGCTTCCGTCGTTTTCCTCCACAACAGCTTCTCCAGTTTGGGGTGCTGTGGCTTTTGTGGTGCTGGAATTGTTTTCCTCCAACTCTTCGACGGCTCGCAACTCCTGGGCTACTCTCAGCCCTGCTTCGGTCAGCGAATATCTGGTTGGAAAAGAGTTTGCAAAATCAAAAGAGTTTGGGGGCCCAGTTCTCTTGAAATCCCTACTCACAGCCTCCCCTGCCAATTTTAGCCTTCCAAGTGTTTAAACTTCGATGTTCGCTTTTAACTTGTACAATTTGTACCTTTGTTCTTAATTGTTTTTTTAAGGGTGCTTTCAGTTGTGGTCTGAGAAGGTTTTAGTGCTTTATGGTAAACCACCCAGAGTCGCTTAGGAGAGATGGGGGGTGTAGAACTTTTAATAAACAAAATTAGTGAAATAAAATGAAGGGGGGACAAACATAGTCCTAAAACAAATTTAACCCTTGATTGGTGCTTCTCTCATGGTGGAGCCTTTCAACCATTTTCCTGAGGCTTTGAATAGCTCCCTCCCTTGATGCATCCACCCATCCTTCCATCATCGATCCATCCATCCATCCTTCCATCATTGATCCATCCATCCATCATTGATCCATCCATCCATCCTTCCATCCTTCCATATTGATCCATCCATCCATCCTTCCATCATCCATCCATCCATCCATCATTGATCCATCCATCCTTCCTTCCATC